TGCATTGTCCGAAGCCGAAGCATTAATAAACACTGATTGGTACTTAGACAGTGGAGCGTCACACCATATAAGTAGTAACTTGGATTTGTTTGATCGATATGTATCATTACAAACTTACAAAACAATAAAAATTGGTGATGGGACAACAATGAAGAGTACTGGAATGGGAACTGTGAGTATGTTAGCCTATAATGGAAAAAGTTTTCAACCAGTTACACTTCAAGATGTGTTATATGTTCCTGATTTGAAGATTAACTTATTCTCACAAGGAAGTGCGCTAGATAAGGGAATTACTCTACGGTCAGACTCTAACAAGGCAGAGTTAATATTGAAGAATGGAAACACATGTGCAATTGCTAAACGAAGCGGTAAACTGTTTAAAATGATTTTCAAGATAGATACAAATTTATTGGAGAAAGATAGTTGTTTATTGGCAAAAGAAGAACATAATTTAAACTGGTGGCACAGAGCAATGGCTCATCAAAACTTTAGACAAATTGAAAAGGTTTTAGAGCAGAACAATATTGTGGTAAAAGAAACCTCAAAGTTTTGCGGTTCATGTGTGCAAGGAAAGCAACATAGAGAAACTTTTAAAATGAGCTTATCGAGATCAGACAAGATAGGTGAAATTATTCATATGGATTTGTGTGGTCCAATGGAGGAGTTATCGCTTGGTGGTTCAAGATATATGTTTCTATTAAAGGATGATTGTTCTAATTATAAGACTGTTTATTTCCTAAAAAGTAAAAANTGTATGGAAATTTCAAATAAAAGTTGTTTTAATGGCGAAAGGGTTATTTGATATCGCAAGTGGAACCGAAAAGAAGCCGGAGGACGATAAAAAGTTGGCTGCATGGCAACTGAATGATGCAAAAGCACAGGAGGTTTTGGTGACTCGTATGGAGGAAACTCCACTTTCGTACATTATGCAATGTTCGACCGCATGCGAGATGTGGAAAAAACTAGAAGAAATCTATGATAGAAAATCAATAATTGGTTTGCATTTGTTAACTGAGCAGTTTTATAATTTAAAATTTGAAGAAGGAAATATAAATGACTTTGTAACAAAAGTTACTAACCTATGTGCGAAAATGAAACAGCAAGGAGAAGAGGTTCCAGAAAAGATGGTAATAACGAAGATAATAATGGCATTGCCAGAAAAGTTCAAACATTTTATATCAGCATGGGAAAGTGTACCAAGTGATGAACAGAATTTAAATAATTTAATATCGAGACTACTAACAGAAGAACAAAGAGTAGGAAGAGAAGATAACTCTGTAGCTTTAATAGCGAAGAAAGAAGGAAAGAAATGTTTTACCTGTGGTAAAGAAGGGCACCTAAAGGCTCAATGTAGGAGGGCAATTGAATGCTTTTATTGCAAGAAAAAAGGGCACAGAATGAAAGATTGTTACCAAAGAAGAAAAAGAGAAAGTGAAAACAATGAAAGAAAACAAAAACAAGGTGAGAAACAAGACGGTTTAGCGTTGATTGCATTGTCCGAAGCCGAAGCATTAATAAACACTGATTGGTACTTAGACAGTGGAGCGTCACACCATATGTGTAGTAACTTGGATTTGTTTGATCGATATGTATCATTACAAACTTACAAAACAATAAAAATTGGTGATGGGACAACAATGAAGAGTACTGGAATGGGAACTGTGAGTATGTTAGCCTATAATGGAAAAAGTTTTCAACCAGTTACACTTCAAGATGTGTTATATGTTCCTGATTTGAAGATTAACTTATTCTCACAAGGAAGTGCGCTAGATAAGGGAATTACTCTACGGTCAGACTCTAACAAGGCAGAGTTAATATTGAAGAATGGAAACACATGTGCAATTGCTAAACGAAACGGTAAGCTGTTTAAAATGATTTTCAAGATAGATAAAAATTTATTGGCAAAAGAAGAACATAATTTAAACTGGTGGCACAGAGCAATGGCTCATCAAAACTTTAGACAAATTGAAAAAGTTTTAGAGCAGAACAATATTGTGGTAAAAGAAACTTCAAAGTTTTGCAGTTCATGTGTGCAAGGAAAGCAACATAGAGAAACTTTTAAAATGAGCTTATCGAGATCAGACAAGATAGGTGAAATTATTCATATGGATTTGTGTGGTCCAATGGAGGAGTTATCGCTTGGTGGTTCAAGATATATGTTTCTATTAAAGGATGATTGTTCTAATTATAAGACTGTTTATTTCCTAAAAAGTAAAGATGAGGTATATAAAAAATTGAAAGAGTTCATAATTGAATTAAAGAACCAAATTGGAAGGGACATAAAAATCGTTAGAAGTGATAACGGAAAAGAATTTGTAAACGTTTCAGTAAGAAATCTATTAAAAGAATATGGAATCATACATCAGCTCACTGTACCTTATACCCCTCAACAAAATGGAAGGGCAGAAAGAGAGTTTCGAACAATTATGGAAGCAACAAGAACAATGTTGGCTGAGAAAAAGATGGAGAAAAAATTTTGGGCTGAGGCAGCGAACATGGCTGTGTATTTGATAAATAGAACTGGAACGAGTCCAGTAAAAAATAAAACACCTTATCAAGTGTGGTATAATAGAGATTTTGACCTTCAATCCCTACGAGGAATATTTGGAGAGGAAGTTTGGGTTTATATACCGAAAGAGAAAAGACAAAAATTGGATATGAAAAGCAAGAAGGCTATATTTATGGGATATGCACAGAACACAAAAGGTTATAGAGTATATTTAATTGATAAAGAAACTGTGACAATAGAAAGAGAGATAATTTTTGTACCAGAAAGTGAAGAAAGCAATGTGAACAAGGAGACAGAAGAAATTGTAAGACTAGATTTTGAAGTGGAAAATGCAAGTGAGATAGAGGAGGATGAAGAGGGAACAGAGGAAAATGAAGAAGAAGAACATGAAGAGGAAAATGAAGAAGAAGACCGTGAAGAGAACGTACAAGAAGAAAATGTAGAAGTTCAGAGACAAGAAAGGCCTAAACGAAAAATAAAGTTACCGAATAAATTAAAAGATTATGTGAGTTATTTTACTGTTGATCAGGACGAACCCATAACATACGAAGAAGCTATGAACAGTGAGAACGCGCATGAGTGGGAAAGGGCAATAAAAAATGAACTAAAAGCTTTGACAGATAATAAAACATGGGATTTAGTAAATAAACCAAAAAATTGTGAAATAGTGGACAGTAAATGGGTGTTTAAACTTAAACGAGATGCAAACGGTGACATTAATCAATTTAAGTGCAGGTTGGTGGCAAAAGGTTATCAACAACAGGGTTTACAGGAAGATCTCTATGCTCCAGTAGTAAAATTAAAGACAATAAGAACATTATTAGCTATTTGTGCGACTAATAACTGGTCAATATATCAAATGGATGTTTGTAATGCATTTTTGCATGGAGAATTGCAAGAAGATTTGTATATGTATTTACCAAAAAATTGTAAAGTTAATGGCAAAGTATGTAAACTTAAAAAGGCTATTTACGGTTTAAAAAAGGCACCATTGTATTGGTACAATAAATTTGAAGAATTTATGTTGGCAGAAGGTTATGTTAAAAGTAATTGCGATAATTGTTTGTATATTAAGATTTCAGAAAAATTTAAAATTTACGTATCAATTTATGTTGATGACATATTGATAACAGGTTCCTCTAAACAGAACATTGAAAATTTAAAATATAAATTACATGAATTCTTTAAAATGAAAGATTTGGGACTGTTAAGTTATTATTTGGGAATACATGTAATTCAAGATGAGACAAATGGAAAAATTACTCTTTCTCAGAAAAGTTATTTAGAAAGGTTACTTAAAAAATATGATATGTTTGATTGTAAACCGGTGGGTACCCCTATGGAGAACAATTTTGATTGTAATGTTTTAATAAGAACTGAAAGCGAAAGTACAGAGTTAGAGCATAAATGTAGACAAATGATAGGTTGTATTATGTATAGTATGTTAGCTACTAGACCTGATTTATGTTTATGTATTAGTATATTATCAAGATTTCAGAGTTGTGCTAGCGAAAAATTGTTTATATCATTAAAACGAGTATTACGTTATATTAAGGGAACGCTAGATTTGAAATTAACTTATCAAAAATATAACACTAATGTAATATTGGGGTATGCCGATGCCGATTGGGGAGGTGACACAGTGGATAGAAAATCAACCAGTGGTATTTGTTTTTTAATACATGGGTGTATGGTGGCTTGGACATCTAAGAAACAAAGTACCGTGGCTTTGTCAACAATTGAAGCCGAGTATGTGTCGTTATGCTTAGGAATAAGCGAAGCTTGTTGGTTTAAAAAATTATTAGATGAATTAACAGACAGGCAAGATTCAACGGTGGTGATTTACGAAGACAACTATACGTACAATAATTTTAAAAATTTATTTTTTTCATTTTATAAAAGATAAAATCAAAACAGAGTTGATTGAAATCGAGTATATTGATAGTGGTAAACAATTAGCCGATATATTTACTAAACCATTGAACGGCATTAGATTTAAGCAGTTAAGAGACGAAATGTTAAACTGATTTTTTTNAATCGAGTATATTGATAGTGGTAAACAATTAGCCGATATATTTACTAAACCATTGAACGGCATTAGATTTAAGCAGTTAAGAGACGAAATGTTAAACTGATTTTTTTTTGCAACAAGGTTCTGATTGAGGGAGGGTGTTGAAATAGGGTTTTTGTAAGAGACGAGGTTGGCAATCGTGAACCGTGTGTGTAAGTGACCGCGTGTTGAGTTCGTTGAGTTGTATTAGAAAACTAGTAAAAATTGTTATTAAAGAATAAAAACGTTTTGTTACATCTTAAGTTTCTCCTGGCCTTATTTATTTCATTTAACCTAAAGCGCACTCCGCAACAGGATCATTGGATATTGGGTATAAAAGACGGGAGTTCAAAATTGATTCTATTTGGCAACATAGCTTATATTGTTAAACTAGCAGATAGTATCTTTTTTAAATGATTTTTCATGGATTTTACTGCACTTTCATGTAATCCACCGAAGTGAGGAGTACGTGCAGGTATGAATCGCCACTTTACATTGTTCTCCATTAAATACATCTTCTGACCAATCTTTACTCTGATTAAAAAATGATTGGAAATCCTTATTGGCTGCAACAAAATTCGTGGCATTATCAGAATATATGCTAGCAGAAACACCACGTCTACCCACAAATCGTTTAAAACAGTTCAAAAACATCTCAGACGTTAAATCGCTGACCAGCTCCAGATGAACAGCCTTAGAAGAAGAGCACACAAATACAGCAACGTAAGACTTAATTAATCTTTTGTTTCTAAATTTCGATTCCTTTATAACAAACGGTCCGGCAAAATCGACATTTACAAATTTAAACGGTCTAGAATCTTTTATTCGCTCGTAAGGCAAATCCGCCATTTTCAAGCTAAACTCTCTTCCGGGATTGAATTTAAAGCACACGTGACAATTCCTGAGCACTCCCTTGACAGTTGCCAAACCAGACACAGGCCAGTATTTTTCTCGTAGACTAGCTAATAACCCCTGTGCTCCTAAATGCATGTACTTCAGATGTTCAGCCTTTATTATCAGCCTTGTTACAAAATGACTCTTCGGCAAAATGATTGGATGTCTTTTGTCAAAAGTGTACCTTGAGTTTCTTAAGCGTCCCCCCACTCTTAAAAGTCCATGCCTGTCCAAAAATGGATCCAGTCCCAAAATCTTACTTCCTTTATTAATCGTACCATATTTCGTTAAACACTCTATCTCCTGGCGAAAATCGCCCCACTGGATCAACTTCAAAACAACATCAAATGCATCAGTAACCTCATCAGCAGTTAAAGAAGGTGCGTTTACCTTTATTGATTTATTGCACTTATTCACAAATCTCCTGCACCATGCAATCACTCGTATCAACGTTCTTAAATTCGAAAATTTTTCTAAAACATCAAACCTACTGTCGGAACATAAAAGCGATATCATCGATATCCTTTTTACTTCACACAACTCATTGTCATCAGATATCTTCACTGCAGTATTTGGCCAATTTAGCTCATTCATTTTAAATCTATGAGGACCAGTAAACCAGGTAGAAAGCTTTAAATTTGGTGCTGAGGCACCTCGAGAAAGAATATCAGCAGGG